ACGAGAAGAGGTAGAGGGCGACCTAAAAAGTATTGGGGAGAGGTGATCAGGCAGGATATGGCGAGGCTCCAGATTTCCGAGGACATGACACTTGATAGGAAGATGTGGAGGTCGAGCATTAGGGTTGTAGGTTAGGAGATAGTTGAGTCGTGCTTTACTTCGTACCATTGTGAGACTAGCCATGTAGGATTTTTGTCTAAGATAGCTATTGGCAATGTTTTGACTTACTATTTCGCTTTTCAGTACATGTACTATTTACTAGCTATCGCTTTTGCTTTGCATCTTTCTTCTAGATTTCACAGTGTTCCTATTTTTCTTATGATTGTTGTGGTGATACTAATATTTACTAATATTGTCTCCCTTTGCTTTGCATCTTTCTTCTGAATTTCATGGTGTTTCTATTTATCCTATGATTGTTGTTGTGATACTAATATTGTTTCCTTTTTGTTATTTTGTCATTTTGTCTTTTTATTTTTTTGAGCCGAGGGTCTTTCGGAAACAACCTCTCTACTCCTTCGGGTAGGGGTAAGGTCTGCGTACACACTACCCTCCCCAGACCCCATTAGTGGGATTTTACTGGGTTGTTGTTGTTGTATAATACTTTTAGAAATTATAAATATTTTTTTTTTTGAAAAATCTCGAGTTAGATGATCAAATTATGACAAACTAATTTTATTTGGGATTCTTTTCATAACATATGGAGTATTAAACTAATTGGAGGGCCTGAGCGGACCTTTTGGAACAAGTATTCTATGTAGTAGTACTACTTTAGAAAGTGTAACTACTTCAAAGTTGACTTGGCTTGCATTCTTGTTCTGGAAGCTCACATGAACGCTCCAACCCCCTCCCCCCACCTCTTTTTGCATTGAGACAACATTTGGATGTTCAGAAAGGAAAAAAAAAATTGAAGTTAGAAGTTGACAAAAAAAAGTAACAATTGTATTTGTATTTACCCGTAAAATAATACAGTTGAATTTATATGTAGTTTATAGACAAGTGAATCGATTTGATCCTAAAACAATAGATGAATTAGACAAAAATATAAGACTTAGCGTTGAAATTGAGATAAAACGGCAGATATCTTAGTCTCGGGCGCAAGGTTTCTGAAGGCAGTAAGTGCAATATAAATAAGCAAGAAAGTAAACTAAAATTGAGCTTTTGATAGAATATAGTGTGTGCTTGTCAGAAAATCCGTATCGTTTACAATGATGGTAGAGTTCACTATTTATAGTTATACCTAGGGAACAAGGTCCTAGGATCAAGCCCCTCTTAAATGACAATTATGAGGGGCATTAAAGAATGTGTAACGGTAGACCGTGAATGACATTTTTTCTGTAACGGACCATGCACTTAATGCTATTGTAACGACCATACTGGTCGTTTTGAGTGTTGTAACTCTGTTCCCCCATTTTACTACTTATTTTATGCTCAATTATTGTTATGTAACTTACCGGAGTAGTTGGTTTGATTCTGGGGATGTTTCGGAATGAATTGGGATACTTAGTCCCAAGGTTGAAAGTCTAAGTTTAAAGAGTTGACCAGATGTTGACTTATGTGTAAATGGCTCTGGAATGGAGTTTTGACGGTCCTGATAGCTCCGTATGATTATTTTGGACTTAGGAGTGTGTCTCGATATTGATTTGGAGGTCCGAAAGTGATTTTGGCTTGAAATGGCAAAAGTTGAAAAAATTAGAAGTTTGGAGAGTTGACTTTGTGGTTATCGGGCTTGGATTTTGGTTCAGGAAGTTGGAATAGGTCCGTTGTATCAATTATGACTTGTGTGCAAAATTTGAGGTCAATCGGAGTTGATTTGATAGGTTTCGGCATCGATAGTAGAAGTTGGAATTAATTAGTTTTTATAAAGCTTGAATTGGGGTGCGATTTGTGTTTTTTATGTTATTTGATATAATTTGAGGCCTCGACTAAGTTCGTATCGTGTTTTAGGACTTATTGATATATTTGGTTGAGGTTCCGGATGTCTTGGGAGTGATTCAGATTGAAATTGGATTGGATTTTGGAATTTTAGAGGAGCTGTTGTGATCAAGTCTGGTGCAACCGCACCTACGAGGGATAGGTCGCAGGTGCTGAGCCGCAGAAGCGGCTAAGGGGGTCACAGGTGCGGTCCAGCGTGTGATGGCCAGTAGTCGCAGGTGCGGTGAATTTTTCGCATCTGCAAGCCCCCAGATGCGGCATGGTCTCTGCAAATGCGGATTTTGGGAGGCAAGGTTAAGGTCCGCAGAAGCGGAAGTTTTCTCGCAGAAGCGCACCCGCAGATGCAGGCTTGGGACCGCAGGTGTGTGAGGACGGGCGTCCAGCATTTTTCCGCAGGAGCGGAGAAATAGGGCGCAAGTGTGAGACGTCAGGGCCAAATTTAATTCGAAGGGTTTGAGGCTTTTTTCTCATTTTTAAACTTATGAAGCTCGGTTGGAGGTGATTTTTAAGAGGGGTTTCACGAGATTTCTTGAAGTAAGATACTTTTAATCATTTTTAGTCATTAATGTTGAATACCCATTAAGTTTCCCACCTAGTTTATGTATTTTTAAGGTGGAATTTTGGGAGTTTTGGGCCAGGGATTGGAGAGTATGAATTGGAAATTTGAGTGGCGATTTGGTATCGGATTTGAGTAATTTTGGTATGGTTGGACTCATGGTTGAATGGGTGTTTGAATTTTGTAACATTTCTTAGATTTTGAGATGTGGGCCCGGGGTTGACTTTTTGAGTTTGTTAGTTTACAGATATGTATAGTGTAGTCTTGTCCCACATTGGAAGAGGAATAATATCTCCTTGTAGTGTATAGCTATAAATAGGGACCTCTTGTATTGTATTTATTATCCAATATTAATAATATATTTTCTTCCGTGCTTTCTCACATGGTATCAGAGCATTAGTGAGAAATCCGTCGATGTGCATCATTCCAGCGACTTCCGGGAAGAAAGACCTCTTCGCCGTGTAATTTTCCGGCGACTTAGAAGGCTGTCCGTAAGCAAATTACTATTTGTTGGTGTTGTGCAAAAACCAACACCACCACAAGACTCCTCAGGCTTTGGCGACCAAACCCCAGTCAACCCCACCGGAAAATACACGTCCACGCGCCCTCACGCGCTTGGAAAAAAAACATTTCCGGCAAGATCTGACTCACGGGCCGGCGCGTGAGCACTATTTCAGCCAGATTTTGAAAAAGTTACAGTTGAACAGCAGGATCGCTTGGTAATTTCGATCCTACCCTCACTGGTTTTGTTTCATTCCGACCACTTTGAGTTTTTCCGTCAGCTACAGTGGATTCC